AAGAATACTATTATACTGTAATATTTGTGTATGTTTAAAATATTATTTTTCTATGAGATTATGAAAAAAAATGTATCAATTTAAAATATTAAAATCATGTTGAAATATTTAAAATAATTTTTTTTTTTTTATCTTTAAATAGGTTTAATGTTTTTCGATTCTTTTATATCTGTAGTAAATTCTAATAATCTTGTATAGAATCTTTCTCCTACATCTTATATAATTTTCTTCATTTATGAATGGTTTGGTTTCCAATTTTTCCTTCAATAATAGATTTCATCTATGCATTATTCCTTATATTTTATATTCACTCTCTTCTTTCTACGATTTACTTTTTTTTTATCTATTAATTTTATAATGTTAATATTTCAATAAGTAGTCATGATGTGATGCATTCATTAGCGGCAGTCACTGACAAGTACTAATAATTGGTACCGGATGATTGTTTTGAAAATTTGGATTAATGTTAAGGAAATATGTGATTATTTTGAATTAATAAAATATGTGATAAGAATTTATACGTCACGATTATAAAAAATATGAATCATAATCGTGATGTAGGGTAATGGTAGAAGGGCAGTTCTGAATGTAACCGCATTTGCATAATACGTCTACCGGATAGATTTAGGCTTATGACGTTGAAGTCATGCTCTCACATCATGTGTTCCGAAAAACTTACGCCTTTACACCATTTACACATTTAAAAAAACTCACCGTTACTATATTCATCTCAGGGTCGGCTCCAGGGGGGAGTTTGTTAAAGGCAAACACCCAATATAATAAATAAAGTAATATGTAAAATAATTTTAATGAAATATAAAAAAAAAATTTAAATTAAAAAAAACTAGAAACTTAATTATAACTTGTATGGTTACATACAGAGAGGGGATATTAGCTAACCCTCGAGATCGGAAATCAACGCGGCGATTAATAAACTGAAAAATAATAAGGCACCAGGAGAAAACCACATCATAGCAGAACTAGTGAAGAACAGCGGAGAAGCTGTGAAAAATGAAATATGGAAATTGATCAACATATTTTGGAAGAAACAACAGATACCTGAATACAACCATAATATGTCTAATCTTTAAGAAAGGAGATTTACTGAAAACAAAAAATTATCAAGGAATCTCCCTATTAGATACCTGTTACAAAGCACTATCGTCAATCCTTTTAGAGAAGTTAGTTCCTTTTGCTGAGGAGATCGTTGGAAAATACCAGTGTGATTTTAGAAAAGGTAGATCAACAACAGATCAAATTTTCTTTTTCAAACAAGTAATGGAAAAACATTATGAATTTAATAAAGACTTATACATGGTATTCATCGACTACAAACAGGCATACGACAGTATATATAAACAGGTCCAGATTTAAGGTTGTGGGGGCCTCAGGGCCCCACATAAGATTTAAATATAAGAAACTCTATTATTATACTAGTGATAAGCTTAATACCCACCCCAACGGCCCGCCGATCAACGGCACGCTCCGACGACGACGCCGATAGAGAGGGAAATGGAAGCTCGGCGCTCGCTAGGTCGTTAGTCTCGTTAGAGTGTAGTTGAGTAATTTTATTTATAATTAAGTATTAATGGTAGAAAATTACCAATACCAATTTAGTGATTCGTTTTATCACACACTAATAGCATCACTTGTCAAACTTAAAAAAATAGAATTTTTTTTTTGCAAATTACTAGAAAAATTAAAAAAAAAAAATGTAATCATTTTGTGGAGGCTTCTTATTAATTGAATCTTGTTGGGGCCCCATGGGCCCCTCCTAAATCCGGCCCTGTACAAAGAGAAGAGTTATAGAAAGCCATGATTAGCTTTGGTATATAAAAGAAATACGTTGATGTGGTGAAACTCTGCAATGCTAAAACCATTTGTAAAATAAAATTTCTAGGAAAGCTATCATCGGAATTCGAAATTAATTCAGGGCTACGGAAAGGCGATGCCTTGTCCCCGACGCTTCTAAAATTCTACAACTTCTAAAATCCGTAGTGCACAGTTCCAGTTTCGGACTACACATTTTGTGTCGGGGTTAACGATTAACGAAAAAATAGGTGCTGATCTATTCTAATTATCTAAGTACCTATCTAACCTTTTAACTTATACCTATATTAGGCATGTACGTATTGGTATATTATATTAGCAAATATTATGTCTAGCTGATATAATTTGAACGGAACATCTAAGTTGGATCCCGAGTACTAGGGGCTAATCGCAGGTAGTGTATTAGTTGGTTCCCGGATTTTTATAGTTACTACACTAGTTGGGTCCTGGATTTTTTTAAGTACTACACTATTTCCTGAATATTTTTTGATAAGTACTACATTATACTAACATTTTACTTCCCATTTTAACAGACTTAGGACTGACTATGATCTATTTAGACTACAGGTATGGTTAAAAATGTTTTTTATAGTTTTTTTTTTTGTTTTTTAGTTTTTTTTCTATTAAAATATGAATGATTAGTAATATGTTGGTAAAATTATTAAAAATATTAAATTCATTATGTAATATAAATAAAAATTAACGGAAAAGAAACTAAAAAACAAAAAAAAAACTATAAAAAACATTTTTAACCATACCTGTGGTCTAAATACATAAATTATGTCACATATCGATTAATCGATTCGAAGTTGATATGGTCGATTAACAATTATGATATAAATCTATAATACTGGATTAATCGATTATTGTAAAGTATTTTAATAACAATCTATTATTTAAAAAAAAATAATCGCGCACCCATACAAACAATAAACAGTCGAAATATAACATAATTGTAATACGTAAATTTATTAATTCTATCTAAGAATATGAAAATTTATATTAGCATTAATAATTTAGATCAAAGTTGAATGTTATATAGCAGGCATATGTGTACGCTAACTAAATACTAACGATTGAGAAATGTCATACGATTTTGAAAATAAACCAATCAATAACTATTTATTAGTAATAGTTCAACTTTTTTCTATAACAGTTACAATATGCTCTTTTAAAGCATTTAATAGCCGCTAAATACTACTAAAATATACCCTAAAAATTAAAAATTGTAAAATATGCAAATATAAACAAAATAAAATTTACGATTTAGATTCATATTTACATCATGAACGTAAATTAATTAATTATTAAACACTAAAATATTACCATTTAAAAAATCATTTGGACAAAAATGTGTTGAGTATCTTTGACCCTATTATTATAATTGTATTTTTTAAATTGCCTTTTCATATTAAAAAAGAATATATATCATAGACAAATTGATGCAAAACAACAAAGCATTGTAAAATGTTTGTTTTTATCTTTGGAAATTTAATCTTAGTTTAACTTTATCGATGTCAGTGCCTCTCCTTTTAAATTTTATAATGTATGTAACTAAATTTTCCAAATTGTATATTAATATGTAAATATTTTTTTTTAACTGTCAATGGTTGTGCTTACTTTTTAAAAGTATTATAATGTTTTAAATTGTGTTTATCCTTAAATTATTATAATTTATATAGTTATATAATCTTAAATTGAATATTAATTTAAATATATAATTTGTTACTCTGATCTTCGTTAAAAGTCTATTTTACGCAAGATAGATAATAACTAAATAAAAAAAGTTAATTAATAGTAATAGTTTTTCTAAATCTGTTATTTTAATAATCTTTCAAAAAATATGCAAATTCTAGAAGTCCCTAAGCCTTTTATTATAACTCATTAGTGATTTATGGTTTAGAAAATATTAAATTATTAGAGTCAACATTTCAAAATTCATGAATTTAAAAAATGTTAAAATAATAATGTATAAATGTGTAATACTACATATATAATTATATATATATATATATATATATATACTTAAATTATTTATTTATATATTTAATATTAGTATAGTTAAAACTATTGATTACATTTATTTCTACTATACATTTTAAGACAACTATAAGTTTTTTCATATTATACCGTTTTAAGATAAAAACGGTGTTGCAAAGAAAAATTCCAGGAATAGTTTTGATATAATTTCTCATTTATACATTATAATAATTAATTTCTAGTCATATTACTCATATATCTCATATTAGGTCACATGAATATAATAATATGTACTGTTTCGTCATGAGTTCATAATATAATTACTTGTTGGGAACCAAACATCACCAACAAAATGTTATAACTGACATCATTATTACTTATTATTGCGCAAAAAACATAAATTTTGAAAAAAATAAATTTCGTAAAATAAGTAGATATTCAAATTCCAAGTCAAATGTGTTCCATAATTCATATTAATATTAGCAATACTCCATAATATAGGTACATCATACATGATCAGAAATGTAACCATCAAAACTATAACTTTCCCTTACCTTTTTTAATATTTATTTTTTATTATGGTATTCCCATCATCTATTATTTAGTTAGCAAACTGTATGGTTTATAATTTTAAGATTACATCCTGATTTCTGTTGGTTTGAATATAATTATTAAACTAAATAATTAAAAGAAATACAATATCATGGAAAGATCATCCACGAAGTTATTTATATATTTTATATGTTTACATTGAACTACTAAATATCATATATTTTGAATTTTAAATTCATACTTGTATTAAAAAAAAAAACTTTTTAATTTTTAAAACATTTTAAATAAATACAATTAATTTTTATTTATTCTTAAATGGATTTTCACGAACATTTATTGTTAGATTTTTAAAATTTTCAAGTCAAACATTTTCTGCAAAAATAATAATAATCTTCAAAAATGTAAACAATAACCTTTTATTTCCTAGAATATTACTTTTGGAAATGTAAATTTAATAACTATTTAACGTTATGTATCTATTTTTCGAAAATTTATAGTTTTGCATCTTGCATGATGTTTGTAAATTATTTCTAAAAATAATAAAAATGCATATTCATTAGTTGTACAATTTTTAATACGTTTAATCATGAATTATGATATAAAATGTATGTATATATTTTATAATAATTTTTTTTTAGAAAACTTGGACTTGACTTAGTTCCAAGATGTGGTGCTGAAATGGTTGATCCTGCATCTATAAGTGCTGTAGAACTTTATAAAGTCGTAAGTATTTTTATTTAATTAATAATAATGATTAAATAATTAATTCATGTATGCCATATTTTTTTTTTAAATTTTAGCATGTTCAAAGTTCGGAAAGCATTCAAGGAGTATCGGTTGGTATTTAAAATTTTTTCTGAGATTGTATAAAATATAGATAATAAGATCAAGATATTTTTTTTTATAATTTTAGGCACGAGGTACTTTAAGAAAACCTAAGGATACATCTAAAATTCAAACACGCCATTTGTTTTTATGTATGCGAGATTTTGGTTACCATACCGGAGAAGAAACAGAAGTCTACTTTTCACTCTACGATTCAAAAAATTTTAAATTTATAAGGTAAGTAGATTTATATTTTATTATTCGTTATAGTTATAACTGTTATGTTTTATAACTTATATACCTACTTAAAATTTTCTTTAATTATTTATTGTTTATTTATTATAGAATTATTAGTTTTACATATATTTTTAAATATTTTCAGTGAACGATTTTTAGTTAAAATATCGAAAGAAGGATTTTCTAATTACATAGAAAAATTACATAATAATTGTACAATTTTTACAGTAAGTTTAAAACTGTTAATTACTTTACGAATTTTAATTTGTTCCTAATAAAGTTATTATTTTCAGGAACTTGGCGTGCAAGATTTATCTCGTGATCTTTATATTGTAGCTCACGTAATGCGAATAGGAAAAATGGTATATTCAGAGTCGTCTAAAAAAGTATCAACATCGTCAACACAAACTCTTGTATCTCATTTTAAACGCCCTCTGGGTGTAGCTGTTCTAAACTTAAGTGAAATGTTAATTTCTAATTGTAATGATGAAAAAGAATTCACATTTCGGGTTTTCCAGACGGACGAAAAAGACTTTTGCCAATTACATGATACGTTAATACGTAAACAAAACAATAAGTATAGTCCATTGTCTAGTCATCCGAATTATGGTATTGTTATATCTCTTCGGATACTCGATGGCGATCTTCGACAAATACGAGAAGAAAATCCTTTGGCCTTTAAAAATGTGTCGACCACCAAAAAAATGGGATTTCCTGATGTAATCATGCCAGGCCATGTAAGAAATGACCTTTATTTAACATTAGAAAGAGGAGAATTTGAAAAAGGTGGTAAATCGACTGGAAAAAATATCGAAGTTACTGTCATGGTTTTGGACTACGAAGGCAATATTGTGCCTAATTGCATATGGGGTGCATCAGGAACCGATTCATCCAGTGAATATCATTCAATGATTATTTATCACCACAACGCTCCATGTTGGATGGAGACTATTCGTTTGGCTGTACCAATAGAAAAATACAATACCGCACATATACGTTTTGAATATAGACATTGTTCTAGTAAGTACAATAGTATAAATCGTGTTCTATATAGTTATGTAATAGGACAGAATATCCATATAATATAATATAAATAATTTATTTTGTATTTATTTTTTAGCTCGCGACAAAGCGGACAATAAGAAACTTTTTGGTGTATCATTTGCACGATTGATGGAACCCGAAGAAGCTACTTTACAAGATGGCATTCATGAGTTATTTATATATCGTTGCGATGAACGTACAAAGCCACATCCAGTTGATTATTTAGGCCTAGCTGCTAGTGTACATGAGTCATCCACTTGGACTATTTCACCAGAACCTGGTTCTGTATTTACTTGCAGTCATAAAGAAATAATGACAGTCCGTACTATGTTATGTTCTACTAAATTAACACAAAATGGTATGAACATTATAATTAATAACTTGAAATGAAAAAAATTCTAACATTTTGTTTTAACATGGTTGTATTTATTTTAAGTTATGTATTTTAATTATAAATTAGTTTGGTTTTCAGTAATATAATTACATTATCTGATGATTAATAATAACTACTTTTAGTGGATTTATTGTCATTATTACAATGGAAAGAACATCCTCATAGAATACAAGAAGCTCTTACTAAAGCTTTACGCTTGGACGGAGAAGAACTAGTCAAGTTTTTACAAGATATATTAGATGCACTTTTCTCAATGTTCTCTACAGATGATGGTAACTCTACCATTCATTCTGGGCTAGTATTCCATGTTCTAGTCAGCATTTTTAGTCTACTTTATGACAGCAAATTTGAGCATTTTAAACCAGTTATGAATGCTTACATCAAAGAACACTTTGCAGCAGCTCTAGTGTACAAGTAATTTATGAATAATTGTTTATATAATAAAAGTCACATTAGAATATAACAAATATTCAAAAGAAAGAAGCAACATTATATTGAAAAATGCATTTTATTGTTAAAATTAAAGATATTTATAAAATATTGTACTTATATTTTTTTTAGAGGGTTATTGAGCAGTGTTCAACATTGTGCAGAATTAGTTATGTCTACTGATCGTCAAGAACCAATACAAAAGTGTTTTCGCTCACTAGAATACATTTTCAAATTTGTTATACAATCTCGTCTATTATTTTCTCGTGCAACTGGTGGTCAATTTGAAGATAGTTTCCGTTATGATGTACATCGCGTATTTGCTTCATTAGATAAAATGTTGTGTTCATCTTTTGAAATGATTTTACCTACTCAGGTATAAAAAAATTATTTGTATATGTTTATTATTGTATTATTCAAAATTATAATTTTCTTATAGATTGCCTTATTGCAAAGTGCGAGTGCTGTATTTGACCAATTAGTTCAAGTATTACCAATTATAGAAGTAGCTAAGCTTAGTGTATCTATGTTAGATTGCTTGCCTTCTCGTGATTTACCTACACCATTGACTCAAGCTAAGTTAGGTGCTATTAAAGATTTGGTTGCTGGCAAAGTGTTCAAAGATGATGGTAATACATATTATCTAAAATAAAATTTTAAAAAATAAGGTTTCTTCTGTTCCTTCACCCTTCCCCCAACTATTTGGGTCGGGGACCTTTGTCCTAAACTCCCACTCGTCTCGATTTACTATATCTTCTACGTGCATACCAATAGCCCTCATATCATTCTCAATCATACCCAACCATCTCTTTTTTGGTCTTCCTCTTCCTCTTTTCCCTTTAACATTCATTTTCATAAAAATTCCTACTGCATTTGTTTCCTCTCGTTTTGTCATCTTTGGGGTTAAAAATTTAATTTTTATTTAATGTCTTACATTTTCATAATAATAATATAATATAGTTATTAAAACATTTATTATTTTCCACTGTTTTAGCAACCTTTGAAACTTTACCCAACAAATACACTTATACTTAAATCATAATTTTAAATAATTATTTGTTTTATATTTTAGAAGCAAGAAATTTATTATTGATAACTATATGTAAGCATCTGAGACATCATATAAGTGCTAGAGAAGAAATACAATTATGTACAGATATTCTTGGAGAAATTTTAACATTTTTATTTCATTTAAATCGATTACAAGACAATGGCAAAGTTAATATTTGTTGTCGTCGCAATTTAGAAATATTAAGTCTTAATATACTAGACATGTTAATTGAAACATGTCTAATTGTCATTGATAGAATGGTTTCTGTTTTGGTATGTTTTTTATTATTTAATATTGAACGAGTATACATTTGAATTATATTTTTTAGGCAAATATGGTTGCATGTTTAGTTTCTTTATTACAACTACTTGATGATTACCACTACAAACGACTTTGGGAAGAATTAGGAGATCGTAAACCATTAAAAGATTTCCTATTAAGATCATTTTTATTATTTAGACATTTAATTAAGCATGATGTATTTCCAACCGACTGGATGGTTATAAAAATGACTACTAACAATGTAATTTTAGCTGCTCTACAACAGTTAACCAAACCATTGGTATTTTGCTTTTTAGAAACGTGGCCACATTTTGATTACCAAGTGTGGTCAACTTATTTTAAATTAGCAGTAGCATTTCTTACCCAACCAGCACTTCAGTTAGAAACATTTACTAGTGTAAAACGTACAAAAATAATTGAAAAGTATGGCGATATGAGAGTACTTATGGGTTATCAAATTCTATCCGTATGGTCTAAACTTGGTAAAAATATAATATGTTTTGAAACTTAATATTTTCATATTATTGCAAACTAATTTATATTATTATAGGTGATCATAAAATAAATTTTATACCATCTATGGTTGGACCATTTTTGAAAGTAACTTTAGTACCAGAAGCTGAATTACGCAAGGCAACACTTCATATTTTTTTTGACATGATGGAATGTGAACAAAGAGCTCGAGGCAATTTTAAAGAAGTTGAATCAGAACTAATTGATAAATTGGATTATTTAATTAGTGAAAACAAAGGAGATGATGAATATAGACAACTATTCAATACTATGTAAGTTTTTTTAAATACTTTAGTGTATATAATAAGTTAATTATAACAATAATTTTGTTAATGCTGCGCATAGGGAAAATTTAAGTATAGTGTAAGTCTAACAACTAAACATTTAAAGATAATTTTTTAATCAAATATTTTGTTATGTTTTTGTAGTCTATTAGAAAGAGTTCATCAAGAAGAACAGGATGGTAGTTGGCAAGAAACCGGTTCAGTTTTTATTAATTCTGTCACGCGTTTATTAGAACGACTTTTAGATTATAGGAGTGTTATGCGCGGTGATGATAATCGTGACAAGCGTATGTCTTGTACAGTGAACTTGTTGAACTTTTACAAAAATGAATTTGATAGGAAAGAAATGTACCTAAGATACATTTATAAACTTCATGATTTACATATTTCTGCTGATAATTTTACTGAAGCTGGTTTTACATTGAAACTTTATGCAGATCAATTAACTTGGAGCGATTCACCAGTATTACAAGGTGATCCATCAATTTCTTTTTGTCAGTGGCAAAGAAAAGAACAGTTATACCATGAAATGATTCAATATTTTGATAAAGGAAAAGTAAATATTATCCATTAAAAAGTTAATGCTTAACAATTTTATTTTATGTAATTATTGTTTTAGTGTTGGGAAAAAGGTTTACCATTACTTAAAGAGTTATCAAATTTCTATGAAAAACAATTGTTTGATTATACTAGACTAAGTGCAGTATTAAAAACTCAAGCAAAATTCTGTGACAATATTTTAACTCAATTACGACCCGAACCAGAATATTTTAGAGTTGGATTTTATGGTCAAGGATTTCCACTATTTGTCCGAGTATATATATTCACGTTTAATTATATTATACATTATTAAATATAATATTTTATAATTATTTTACAGAATAAAGTTTTTGTTTATCGAGGTTTAGAATATGAACGTATGGAAGCTTTTACCCAAAGATTGCAAACTGAATTTCCAACTGCCCAACTTTTAACAAAAAATAGTCCTCCATCTCAAACAATTTTACAGTCAGATACTCAATGTTAGTGATATTTGTTTAAAATAAATTGTGGAGATTAACTTTTAAAATATTTTCTAGTTATCCAAATTTGCAACGTAAAACCATTTCCAGACATTGGTCCACCTTCTTCTGACAAGCCTTTAGCTATGGTTCCTGAAAAAGTTGGACGTTTTTATGAAGTAAATGATGTATGTACTTTCCAATTAGATCGACCAATGCACAAAGGTTTGGTAGATCGTGACAATGAATTTAAGAGTCTCTGGCTGGAACGTACTATTTTAATTACTAGTGAACGTCTTCCCGGTATACTTCGATGGTTTGAGGTTATTAATACAACTGCAGAAGAAGTACCACCAGTTAAATTTGCATGTGAAACCATAGATTCAGTTAACAAAAACTTAAAGCTTTTAATTAATCAGTACACAAATGAGCCTAAAAGAAATATTAATCCATTAAGTATGAGACTTCAGGGAACAATTGATGCAAATGTTATGGGTGGTATATCTAAATATCAGTCAGCATTTTTTTCGCAAGATTTTGTTCAAAATAATCCACAATATTACTCACATGTTTTACATTTAAGCTCATCAATAAATCACCAAGTAAAATATTACTAGTATACTTATCTTGTATTATATGATTGATTCATATATTATACATTTTTCTAGATTGAAATAGTGGAAAATGGACTTTTGATTCATGGTCAACTAGCTCCACCTGAAGTTCAACCTCTTCATCATCGTTTAGTTGAGCGCATGGTTCAACTTAAACAAAACTTACGAGCCCCTCCTCCACCAGAAAGCATTATAAATTATGAATACTATAAATAAATAATATAAGCACTGTACAGAATATTAATTCATTGAATAATTGGTTTAGTTCCCCCCTTACCACCAATACCATCTGTTCCAATTGAACATAATTTCCATTTTCGTTCTTCTGAAGAGTATACAAATACAGTACCTTATTTTGACGAACGGCGTGGTGAATACGAAGATATTTATAGCAAGACATTTGATTTGTCAGATGCTTGTGTACCAGTTGTTCCACACAGAGAAAATCGACTTAAATCTGAAGGATCTTTACCAAATAATAAGATCAAGTATAAATTACTTATCATTTATTATTTTAATTTGTAATTTTTTTCATTCAATCTTTTTCATAATTGGTTTTGTATAAAATATAGAGTTGATTCAAAGTCAAATATTTCATGGAAACAACCAGGAAGTCCTAACTTACAAAGGCACTCTTTAGATAGTAGTGTAAAAAATGCATGGACCCTTGATGATAGTTCTCCACCACCACTACCACCAAGAGGTAAATTAATGTAATTTTATTAGGTTGTTATTTATCTCTCTCCCTCTTTTTCTATAGTTCCACATCATGTTAAATCAATAAAATATTTATAAATATAAAAGAAATATTTATTAAATAATTTTAGCCAAATTTGAAAACCATTACTAAAATTTAATTTTTTGTTCATTCATACTAATCTTCTCTTTTCAGAAGATCATAATTCAGCTTAACTTCATAAATTTACCTTGTTTATATATTTTTTTTTTTTTTTTTTTGGTTTGGAACAGTAAAATAAGTCTTTTAATCATTATATGTTTTATGTATTTTTAATTTTGTTATATTCTATAATTTTATAATAATTGTTTTTTTATGTATGAGCTATCTTAATATACCTAACAAAATAAAGTACTACAATAATTGCAATTATTGCTAGAAAGGTCAAATTAAAAATTTGACCCGTGAATAAATAAATATATTCACTGATTTGGTAAAATACAAAATTAATAATTTAAATAAAACATTTTAAAAGCCTTCGAGTTCTTAATTGTTATTAAATTATTCCTTTACTCATGTTAAGCCCCGGAAAGAAGAACCAGTGATGCACCTCCATTACCACGAAGATTGCCAATGAAGCGTGTAAGTTATTTTCATAATTTACTTGTCAATTTGTTCAAATGTTTATTATATATTTTATGCTTAGGAATCTGAATTAACTAATATAAATTCACCAGTGCTACGCGACTCAGGTTATTCAGAATCCTTACATTCAGCATCTTATGAAGAATTTGTGTTACCTTCAACTGATAAGGATAAAACACCACCACCATTACCACCCAAGAATACTCAACCTCAGCTTAATTCTGATCCCAATGGTATAAATAAAATGCCCGAATATTCATATTTGTGTGTGCTTATGTAAATGTATGTTTAATTAATTATTTTGTTTTTTAAGAGCTCCCAATTTTGGAAAACTATTCTGTGCCAGGAACAATGCGTCGCATGGATTCCAGTCCTTAGTCAAATACAAGACTTATATTAGAAGCAGTGCCATTTTATTCATTAATTTAACAATTAGATATGAGTTATGGTATTCTAAAATTATTTTTATACTATAGTAATGATGAGTGTGTTTGTGATGTTTTAATATTATTATACATTTTAAAAATAGTGTCAAATTATTTTGGCATAAGTTAAATTATTAGAAAGTAATTTTATCGGTGTTGTGTGTATGTGTTTTACTACTTATTCCTATCTAATTTTCATAACTTTTATAATTTATTCTTTTTGTTTTGGCTGGGAAAAATGATTTTTCTCATTTTTAATTTTTTAAAGTTTGCTAAATAACTATTTTTTATTATTGAACTTTTTTTTTTCATAACTTATTATTTATTATAAATATAATTATTTTTGTATGATTTATTTTTAACTAATTAAGTTTTTAAATTTTAGTTCTCATAATTTGTTTTCAACTCTATAAATATTTTTTGTTATTTAAAAGTGTTAATCAATAAAAGTTTTTTTTTCATAATTTAAACAAAAAAATTAAATTAGTTCTAACTGATATGTTTAAATAGTATTCATTTTGAAAAATGTTAGTTGTCTACTGCATTTAATTTCTATTACTTTGTCTTTCAACCGACTTATATTTCTATAACAATGTAGTTTACTCCTATTGTATGACTGACGTTACCAAATCTGTATACTAATTCAGGACTGGCTTTGAACTTGTACAATAATTTTTTAGTTTTCCTGCTCAATATGTTATGTTTTATTTTACCCTACGTGTTTGTGTGTCAATTTTATTTATTATTTTTTTTATTATTATATATTTCAGTCTTCCGTGACTTTAATTTATATGTAATATATTACCACTGATTATGCCAAACATAAAAATACAATTTGTGAAATGAAGTACGTCTTATATTATTAAAAATATTTGTGTCCTTTGTTGTAATCTTTTTTTTTTTTACTATGCTCATTATTTACAATTGAAATATTATAGACTTTAAATTAAAAAATTACAACGTAATTAAACAATAAAATGTCATTGATGATTAAAATGTATTGTGTTGATTATTATCTCTGATGTGTATATACATTTCGTATTTCGCCTACCCCTACGAAAAAGGTCGTAACTCGTTTTTTCTTAGTTTTCAGTATGAATAAAATAAGCATTGCGATTCATATTCTTATTCTATAATAAAATAATTATTTTTATGGTATCCTTCATTCTACCTGTGATGTTATTTTTGAAAATGTACATTAAAAAATAGAATAAGAATATAAATTTCAGTGCTTATTTTATTCATACTGAAAAGTTAGAAAAAACGAATTACGACTTTTTTCGTTGTGGCAGTCGAATTTAGAATTTATTATTCTACTCTTATTAAAAAAATATACCAAGGTTGTAGTAACAAAAAAAAACGTAGTCATGTGCTGACAGCAACGACAGCAGTGCCAATGACCAGATATGTGTGTAATTCCATCCTTGTCTAGGGGAGTGCTAACCGTCTCTCCTTTTATACAACACAATTGCATTTGTTAGTTCATTTGTATATATACCAAGTATTAAGTTTTGATGTTTACAAGTGAGAGTTTTAGTGGCTTATAGTTAAAAAGCAACATCTATACGATTGCAGTAAACTTTTTAAAATCAATACCTAGATAGCGCTGTAAATATTAATAGAATCAAATACTGTTATTCTGGATACCAATTTTGAATCATAATGTACATGTTCATTGCTTAATGACCAACTGATTTGTTTTTCTCAAACTTGTCACTTGTCTGTTCAACTGTATTTTAAACGCGAAGTAGATACGAAGTTTTATATTGATTATCAACAGAGAACAGTTAACACTTTGACGTGTAGCTAAAAGTAAATTATTTATTATAGATTCAAATTGTATGATACATAAATAATATAAATTGTTTGTTAGTTTTAATTTATAAACATCGTGGTGGTATTATTAAATTCTCAAACAATATTATTAATTAATAAATTAACAATATTATTAGATTTTTTCTACTTGTACCTTTTTTTTTTTTTTTCATTACACCATTTAGTCTTCATCAGTCAGTGTTCACGTAGATATGAGTACATACATTTTAGTTTTGTACTACTGTTACTTTTCATTCAATATTTTTCATTTAACATTTTATATTTCATAATTAATTTAGACATTCGGATTGTCGTATTTTATAACCAAACTCTTATCAGTCAGGACTGGATTAATAATTTATCAGGCCTGGAGCCTAGTAGTCCAAAGAGCCCTTAATCCTTATAATATTTATTACTGATAACTGAATTTTATTTCTTTAAAAAAATTATACAAAATAATTGATTATACAGAAATTTCTTTAACAATTTTTAATTTGTCATTTTTCGTTATATGCAAATATACAACATAGGTAATTAATTATAATATTTTAAAACTAACTTTATTCTCTTATTTTCTTTTCTCTTTTTGGAACTCCATAATAATTTCATCTATATTTATCTCTTTTAGCAAAAATCTCAATTACAGATATAAATAATATAATTACGAAAATTAAAAAAATTTTGAATCAAAATTAAATTTAAACTTAAAATATTTTGAACTGGACTTATGATAGAAGGCTCCTTAGGGGCCTTAAATATTTTAGGGCCTGGAACCTAGGTCCCTAGGTTCCGTGCTTAATCCGGCCCTGTTATAGGTATAAAAACAAAATCACCAATTGATAACCAACATAAGTTTTATGTTTTCTTTAATATTTGTTATATTGAATTTATATTTAATATTGAATGTACCTAAAGCCAATTTATAGAGCATGAAGTCGGTTAATTAATATTCAGTGAAATGCAACCATTAATAGTTAAATAAATACACCACTAGTACAATTGAAACTTGTAATATTTGTTTTTAAACTTTAAAGGTGTATCTACTTATTTTTGTTAATTTTGTAGGTAAGACTTATTGTTTATTACTGTTATTTACAATTATTTTATTCCTAAATAAACTTAAATAACAATAATAGTGTATGATAGTTATCAAGTAGTTTAGTTATGCTACACAAATTATGAATTACAATCACTGACTACCAATATTACTACATGTCGTCTTAGGTGTGCGTTCAAAGCCTCTGAAATGTTGTAAATGGGACCCTATAATTTTAGTCTAATAGTAAGGGGCCCATATTTGAACTGATGTTACTCAAATTAAATATAACTAATTTCAAAATATTTGGTAAAAAATAAAAGACGTATCGTAATAGAAAAATAAAACTAAATATTCTAAATTTTCGTGCAAAAATTTATTATAATATTATTATAGCAACTGACTAGAAAAGTATAAATTGTTAATACAATTGAAGCTATTCAAGAAGAAAATATTCATCAGGACAAATATACCACAGTATTAAATAAAAAATAAAAATTACATTTATTTAATTATTAATATATTATAATTTATTAAATATTTCTAAAAGTTTTGTTAAAATAGAGCCTGAAAGTATTGTAGGCACCTCCTGAAATATAGGTCTACGCATGTCTATGTCCGTTGTATGTATATCAAATATAATAGTAAATAGCACCTAAACATTTGATATAACTCTTCTTCAATCTTTATGAAGTTTAGATATTTTTTATATATTATTCTGTTTTCAGTTATTTTTCCTAAATAAGTTTTATAAAAAAAATACAATTTATGATTATTAAGTAAAAACGGTACCTAGTTTCTTGTCTCCATTTATATCCAACCGATTATTTTTACTACTGTTAATATGATGCCTTAAATTGTTCGTATAACTTTTGGTAATGATACAAATGTAATTTAAGTTTAATACAAGTATAAATAATAATTTTAAATTATTTTTATTTAGTCAAGACATGAGGTTGAAATTAACATCAAGTTATTGTTGTTAACTTTTTTTTTTTTAAACAATATCCCCTGTAACCTAATTTTTTTTTAAATTCAAAAATTGACTAATTTTGGCATTGTACAATTCAGGGGTAAATAAATTTTCCAGAAAAGTAAATAAACATACTCATAAATTGTTCTAAAAGAAAGAAAATACAATAATAATAATAATAATAATAATAATAATAATAATAATAATTAAAAAATAATAATGATAATAATTAATAATAATCAAAATATTTTGTACATATTTATGTTTCTATACACCTCTAATGAAAATTAAATTATATAATTACAAATCAATAAGCCTACATTATTAAACATTTACACTTATACAAACAATAGAATTTTCAATAATATATAATCAAAAAAATAGAATGTACATATTTAATGAACACTTTATTTAATAATAATCTATTGTTCCCGTATCAATGGGATTTATATATATTTTCATTTTTTCGCAGTGATTAACATCAGTCTGTTTTGCCCATTTTGGCTCGCAGTTTAGCGTGGACCTGTAGGAATTCCGGTTTATCCTCGTCTTTTTCTTTTACGTCATTTTTTTCCATTTGCTACAACAAAATAAAATATTATATAAGATGGGACAAATGATCATTATTGTTTTTTTTTAATTATATAATTTATAACAAAGTTGGATTTGTGTTAACGAAATTAATTATCTTTTTAGCAGTGGCGGATCTAACACCTGGGCAACCTAAACATGTCCCACCGGGTCCCGGCCTTGTGGGCCCTCTTGGCAAAAATAATAGGGTTAACACTAGATTTAATAAATAAATAAATAGGTATTAAAATAGTTGTGCTACAATAAACCATGTTATTAAAATTTATTATATAATATAGAATATCATGATATTATAGTAGTGAGCTAAAAATACTAAAACTGGTTAGTAGTAAAGTAGTTTTATAGCAACATTTAATTTTAAAAAACTAAAAAACTTTAAAAGTTTTTTGTCGAATTAAATCGATGACGAAAAAAAAATATTAACTATATTATTCGATACTGTACGTACTTTATGTGCATCTGGCTTATCTCTCAGAGGCCATTGTGAAAATATTGGAATTCTTGGTAATCATGGAATTTAATTAAATATTATTGATTTAATAATTAGACACAATTCAACTCTTAGCTCATATTTGAACTCATACAGTAAAATTAAATATTTAAGTAAAACGATTATGAATGAACTTTTTGAAACTAAATCTCTAATTATCAAGCAATGTAAAGAAGCTTAATTTTTTACGTTGTTGGAAGATTCAACAACTGATGTTGCTTATTTAAAACAAACGGGAATTATATTGAGATACATACAAATAGATCCAAAATTTAAACAAAATATTGTAATTAAAGAAAGTTTTATCGGAATTTATATCAAGAATAAAGGCAATGCTGAAAGTATTTGTAATTTTATGATAAAAATGCTTTTTAAAATCATTGGTTTAAACAAATTATTTATGGTTGGTCAAGGATTTGATGGTGCTAATGTTACGTCAGGAAAACATGGTTGATTACAAGCGAAACTGAATGAATTTTTAGAAGAAGAAATATATGCACCATACGTACACTGTGCAGCACACCAATTAAATCATGTACTGGTTCACGCTGCTGAAAATAATGCAAATGCATCTATAGCATTTTTTGGATATAATAAATTCAGAACACCAAGCGTCCAGGGAGGATATTTTATCATCACAATCATTAATAAATTTAATGGATTGGCAATTTTATTTAAACTTACTATGGTTAAATGATGGACTGAAAATTATAAATGCAGCACAAATATTGATATTGATATGTTTTTAGCTTCAAAATCTATAGAATGTGCTTAAAAAAAAACTAAAATTAATGCGATCCGAAAAATACTATATTGATTTAATAATTCGAGTCAAAAAAACTGGGAAAAATTGGGTTTACTTGACAAAGAATTTCCAGATACCCGTATTCGAAAGGTAAAGAGTATGGTCGGTGAAGTAGCAAGAAATATCGAACATTCTGTTTGTGAATAACATAGATTAGGTTGTTTTCAGGCTTGTGATAATATTATAAAAAAGTTGGAAATAAGAACTACAAATTTTACGTATCTTCATAAACGGTTTGATTTCCTTCAACCATATAAACTTAAAGATATTACTAATGATGAATTAGATTTACATACAAAAAATCTAATTTCCAAGTATAAATGTTTTTCAACTGATCTAAAACTTGATATAAGAACATTCATTGACTGTTATTTTATTGACAGCGTACCATGACTTTAATACCATGAGAATGACAAACATAATGTTTACACGTACTTGAAATTTATAACCGATTTGAAATTAGAAGATAACATAAAAGAAATGCAACTTCTATGTAGAATATTTCTTACGTTGCCTATTAGTATGCCATTACTGAGAGATCAATGAGTTCATTGAAAAAAAATTAAAGATTACCGTGGATCAACATTGAGTGAAAACCGTTTTAATGATTATGCAATGTTTTACATAGAAAGAGATACAGCAGAATTGATAGATTTACAATCTACCAACAAATTTTTTTCAGAAAAAAAAGCCAGAAAATGTTATATAAATGTATTAAACATATAAATAGGTATTTTATTTTTTATTTACGTTTTTCAATATTAATAATTTTCGATTTTTATACGAGTTGTAACATAAATTAAATTAAAAAAATTATTAATAACATTTTATAATTTAATTTTTGTAGGTATATGGATGATATTGTAAAAGAAAAATAATTTTTAGTTAATTTTAGACTTCGTGGTAATTTTATGTAGGATTCAATAGAATTTAAATAAAATTTGATTCATAATTTGAATGCATAACTAATTGTATTATATTTATTGGTATTCAATATTTAAGTTTTTAAAGTAATTGAAGCAATTTGTTTTATGAGTTAGAGCTTGAAGTATTATGTCAATAATTAATTTTTTTGGAGGGAAGGGGTAGAATACTTCTCTCGCCCAATCCTGTTTAACATTTTATATAAGATATTATAATTAAATGGAGGCATGGTCCCTAATTTTTAATGTCTGACCGGGTCATTTTTTTAGACCCGTCACTGCTTTTTAAGTTATGTTTTGAGTATTAACGAGTAACTTATATTTCGTAAGAAGAAATATCACCATATGTCAATAAACATTGGTTCAGCATAAAATTTCTTTTTAAAGTAAATGTTTTTAATTCGATAGTATTAACATATAAATCATACAATATACTTGTTAATATAAAATAATTTTTACACCCATTAATTAAATGTAATAATATAATATAATAGTTTTTGACCTAACCATTAGAGCTTATAAATTGTCATAAAATGGGAATATTTCATAATAATCTTTTAATGATTACAAAAAGATTTGTTTATTTGTTTATTACTGCAGATTGGTTACACAACTTTACGATTATTACAAAAGGCTATGATGTTACGCTTTAAGCCACAACAAACATTATGCGCGTTATATAACCACCATGATACTATGTGTTTACATTATATTCTCGTAAAAAATCTTGACCATCTTGAACAATTAAAATTGTACATCACAAGTTTAAGTATATTTTTATAACTTTTATAGCTGTATAATATAACACTGTTATATATAAAGATATTGCGGCAGTCTCTACTTTTTAGTGAATCCCGACACAAAGTGTGTAGTCCGAAACTGCAAGTGTGCATTACGGAATTCGAGATGTGTGTACCTACTTAAATACTAATAAATAAGACTATTATGAAGGTGTTTTTCGGGAAATGATAGCAGATGAGGACTTAAATATATCTATTATATTTTAAGTTATAAATCCCACATTAAAATAAATAATTTGTAAACAGTTTCAGATTTATACCAGACAAAAGTATATTTCCAGTTTAAAAAATAATATCAGATTGGTTTTTAGTTTAACTAATTATAATGTGCAATTCGATTAAAAAAAAAACTATTACTAAAAATTATAATCATATGGAAGGGGGTAGAGAGGAGCTTTGTATCATATCATTGTATATTAAAAAAATGTGTAGTACGAATTTTTATGAAAAATAGGGACTGTATTGCGGTTAAGCCTCGATGTTTACTGATGTATATCGAATTTCTCAAAGCAGTGCACGTGGTTCAAGTAATTACATATATAAAAGATTCATGCAATTTGGCATACCTATAACAGTTAAATATTATTTTAGTCTCCTCTCTTATTTTCTTCCTCTACAACTTTTTAATGGATCTATTTTACAGCGTTATTTGCCATACAACGATCGTCACTTTTTTTTGTATCGAAAAAATTGGAAAATCAAGCGGTTTACTATTTTCCCGATAAGGCGATAAAGCAACATGTCATCTTTTATACTTTTTTTCTCCCTCCCCCTCTCACTATCTCTCCCCTACTCCCTCCTTCTTTTCTATATTTCCATTTTTTCTTTGTTCAGCACCAATGAACACAAAAATGACATCGCTAATTTTCCATTGCCAACTTAAAAAACGTTCTTAATGTTTAGACTATAAAAAGTTCTATTCTAATTTATTATCGAGTTTTTAAAAGTCATTTTAATCTATTATCATAGCATAATATGTAACATTTAATATGCGTGCGCTGCTTAACATTTTAAGTGTTGAAATAAGATACTTATAAATAAAGAGGTATGTATAATAATAAAATTGATAGCAGTCCTGTTATCGAATTTATAACTGTCAATATTAATAATAAGATATAATATAATAAATTTAGTGAAATTACATAATGGTACAAGTTAAGTTATGTCTTAGTAAAATATTAAAATATATTATTTGTATTATATAATCGTAACTAAATATACTCAGAAACGTTTAATGAACTAAGTATGTAGGTTTTGCTACTTCATTTTAAATTTAAGTATGAATTATGGGATATGTTTACAGAGTTATGTATTATTAAACTATAGTTTTTATATAATTATTTATCATATCGTTTATGTATAATCTATGTGTTGAAATAATTATAAATTTTATACTTGGACATTTAAATAATATTATGTACATAGTAGTAGAACTTTAATACACAGAATTTTGTTTAGTAATAATATTAAAATACATATATTTTATAGATATATAAGTAGTTAATACCGTTTCAATTTTTTTAGCTCTTTCTTCGATAATCCGTTCAAACGGTGTACGACACGAGTTCTTTTGTTGTTCAATTTCTTTTTGAGTTTGTGTTCGCTTGTGTTTTTCCAATGCCTTTTGCAATTCTGATTTTTGACCCAAAACATTCTTCCCACTAAAATGAAAAGAAAAAATACCAATAAAAGTATAAGCTGCTATCAGTATTTAAATAGATTAGTACATTTTTTGGTTAAATAATAGTTCTCGATGAAGGTTTTGATGATCTGCAGAGGTCAGGCATGGGTTGACCGGCTTCCGTGGTAGGATTAGTCCATCCTGGTGCATATCTCTCGTGCAGTCAGTTGCCATTGTCATATCTAAATAATACAACATTGTTATGACCATTATTAATAAATAAAACAAAGCAAACTGTATTTAGATTTGATAGTATTACAACGTATTTAATTAACGTAATATGAAAAACTTTAATATTTAAAATATAGACATAACATACACAGAAATTATCTACATAGATATTCTACATAAATAATTTCGCTTAGAACTTATAAATTATGAGTAATAAATTATGTAGACATTTATAAAAAAAAAAAAAAATGTAGTAATAATAGCTAAAAAAACATACTAACAAAAATTGTTCACAATTTAATTTTTTAAAATGACTGAATTAAAGATAATCATGATAAAATATATACAAAAACACTATTTCTGATGAATATTAAAATTGTTATTTTATTTTTACATAGAAAAATATCGAAATACCATTCATATAAGATAACGTACTTATTTGTCAATAGTATTCTTTTTTAACAGAAAATATAAATTGGTAATTTATTGATTTTAATACATATTGAAGTTAAAGAAGAGCACATTTAGAAATCTTGAGGCAAAAATCATTAATAGTATTTTTAAATGATAGCAAATTAATATTTTAACCTAACTAAATGATAAGATGCATGACATTCTTTTAGTTATTTAGTACTATTTTTTCTACGAAAAATAAACCCATTGTATAACCTACAACAGATAATTTACTTCCGTGCACAATCTAAGCCCAAATCGTTGGTGCAATGATAATGTTTAATTGTTTAATTTCTATTAAAATTGATTTCTCTCAGCACAACAGCATTAATAATACCGAAAAGTTATTGATGATTACGAAGGATTGTGTCGCTGGTGTAATTGTATTTCATATATTTTTTTATTGTAGACAATTTATTATTTTAATATTCGACTTTTATTGACTATTTAATGACATAATTGTATTTCATATCTTTTTATATTGTAAAAAATGTATTATTTTACTATTTTACTATTTGTTACTGCAATCTTGTAATTATACTTTTAAAATAAATATTAAACATTTTGTGAACCAATGTGTGTCTGGACGCAATCGGGATACTTATATTTGGGATAAAATACGACTGTCTGGATTCGGGCCATACAGGTGTAATGACTTGTTATAATGTGAGTATTATGAATTATTTCAATTATTAAAAATTAAATATTAGGCGGAACATGGGTACAAGAGCCCCCACATTTTTAACTACACTTATTAAAACCCACTTGTCATTTGAAATGCTTGTTCCTTTTTAATTTAAATTTTTTAAATATATTATAAATTATGAAAATGATGAAAATCTTTTAAAACGGCTGACAGTAGCATATGATCCTTTGTCTAAACTAACTTTGCAATACTCTTCAGGTAAAATTGACATGTTTCGTAGTTGAACAATACGAAAATACAATGAATACTCATTATTAAAAAAAAAAATTCCTATAACTTAATGATGTATTTAAGTTTATTTATTTGTTTATTTTGTATTTATTTATTTTATTGTTTATTTGGGCAATGCCCATTTCCACCAAATGAGATATTGACCACCTTTTTACCAAAACAATTATATACTACGCTTAAATAAAAATCTATAGGCATTATCTAATATATACAACATATGTTGAAAACTGTTAAATTTTATTTAAAAAAAATGGTTAGATATAAATATGTGAAAAAAATGATATATTATAGTATACGATACCTTAGTTATGTAAATTGTAACTATAAATAAAATTAGTTGATATTTGTTAACTGATCCAATAAAAAATTTAAAGTTATTTAGTACTAGTGTTTTGTTTCCACGTTTACTTTCGATAACTTAAGCTATCATAGAATTATAAATTTTAAAATTTACGTTTTATTTTAACACACATACAATTGTAATGCACAATTTGAACTGCCATATTTTCATTTGTTCATAAAGTATTTGATTATTTACATATTATCATGGTTAATTGACATAAAAGTACATATATAAGTACGATTACGGTTTAACACACAATGAAATACAATAAATGTACAATATACATTGATTATACTATGTGTATATTTAAATATATTTTACATCAATGCTAAAAACTCATAAAAAGTATAGGTATTCTATCTCATTTGGTGGAAACGGGTATTGGTTGAAAAGGGAAAGGTCTAATTTTGGTGGAAACGTGTTACGCTCGTTTATTTATATTTTATTACATAAATTAATAATAATTTATGTAATTATCAAGTAGCAATATTGCAAAATTATAATAAAAAATATAATGTTAAAAATTATCCCATGATAATCAATATTTAATATATTATAATAGGTATAGAAATAATTTTTTTAGATAATGTTCAAAAATGCATAAATTATAACCGTTGATTTAAAAAATGTAATTAGTCAATTAATATTTTCATTGAAAATATTATCAAATTCATAAGAAAAAAATATTATTTTTATAAACCCAAAGCATGTTTTTTCTAGACAAATAATAATAGTATATTTCAATATATCGAATATAGAATATAGATTATATATACCTATAGAAAGGTTTAAACCTATAAAAGGTTAAAAATTTATAACAATTATTATAAAATAGTACAAACACAGTTCATAGCTAACGAAAATAAAAAAATTAAATATAATTTGGATTATTGTTTATCAAGAGTCCGTGAGACATGAACTTTATAAATTAAATCATAGATCATGTGAACAAAACGTTGGATTAATAAAAATGCTTTAAAGATTATGTATGCTTAGATACTGATAAATCTATAATATTCAATACAATTATAAATAATAAATTCATATACATAAAAAAAAATTTTTTTTTGTAACGTTTAATGTTATTTATTTAAAAATATACCAGCGCGATATGCACCGTATACTTTTTAATATTTTTTATAACTTATTATGTAATATTATAGACTAGTGATGGGTAACTCAAAGTTACTAGAGGGACAAATTTTAGAAAATTAAAATCTAGCGGGCTAGAGCATAGACAAAAATAAAGGTCATTCAAAATATGAATTTTAATTAGCATTTATATACACGGAAATAATAAATTCAACACACACGCAACTAAAGAAAATAGAAAACGGGAATTGCAAATATAATTATATTGTAGGTATTTTTTTTTTTTATTATTATTAAATTACTATTGTAGAGAGATATTAATATAACGGTTGACATCATATTTATGTTTACATATTTATACATATTTATTATTATTATAATTTATTTAAATTTGGATTATGTTCAATAAACCATTAGCTTGAACGTTTTTATAAAATCATTAATAAATTATAAACTAGATGAAATAAAACAAATTAATTCTATATACTTCTTTATTGATAGCGACATTTAAATTCGATCTTCAATAATAAACAGTATAATTAGGACGTACATACAAATTGATTAACTTCTTCATGTTGAGTATAGAAACGTTACATTTTTTGTCAATTTATTGCATATTCAGAAATAAAAAGTTAGTGATTTTTTTATTTGTAACAAGGAATTTTTAAGAAGTTTTATTATAATTCTGTATTATATCATCATTGTATACACTAAATAAATGAAAATTAGAAACCGTTAGTTTTTTATTTTATTTTCAACTTGAACATTGCTAAAGGGATTAAAAGTTCTAAGTTATAATAATAATAATAATAATAATAATAATAATAAAATAATTAAATTATGCATAGTTATAAGTTAATAATACTTAACATATTTTAAATTATAAGTAAATAGTTAAATAAGCAAAACAAGTCAGTAAAATGTTTTTTTTTTTTTTGTAAAATATACGAGTATAGTCATAATTCATTATTATTTAAATAACTATTTTTATGATTTTATAATGTTTACATATTTAAAAAATTACGTATTAACTACATCCATTACGTAAATCTAGCAATTAAGTAATTATAAACATACTTAAAAAAGTACCTACTAATAAATAATAATATACAATATTACAACCAAGTTTACCAACTTACTACTTACATGATACCAATAACCAATAATGTTTTCAAAAGATATTTTTATATTATTTTTTGATAATAATTTAACATATTTTCTCTTTTTAACCATTATGGCTTAAGTGGCACAAACACATTTAAATCGTTCTGAAGATATTTTATGAACCATAACTATATGACACCTTTTATCGTGCACTACTTGTTGCTATTTGGTTGGTATATGGAAGTATGACATATTGAGACTTGATAGCCGTGTGTTTTTTTATAATGCACTATACGTTAAAATGAAAGAGAGTTCTTACCTTCAATTTACACATGTATACTAAAATATTTCCGGTTCATGATATATATGATAGTACATATTTGAATTTTTTACAGACAGAAAGCAATACAAAAAACGATGAAATAATAACGGTTTTAAAACATGCGACCGCTCCTTAGACCCCTCTCAAATAAATAATTTTATAATACTTGAGTAGAAACCTTAATTAGGCATGTATAAATATTTGTAGTAACACTAGTCATCGTACATAACAGTAATGAATAATCAATTCTTATTATTTATAGATTTAATTTTAATTTATACTGTCAATTTTCATAGAAATTTCTTTTAAAATTCAACATAACTGTATTATTTCATGAGACAATAAAGAAATTAATTGTACACTACAGTTTGATTTGATTGAGTTCAAGAGTTAAGATGACATTTAAATTACCTACAGTGTTAAGAAATTTATAAAAAAAGTTCATTCTAATATAATATGACTAAATAAAAATATAAATATTAATATATATATATATATTATATACTAATATAATATCTACAATAAATGGTAATACCTATACATCTTATTAAATTTTACTAATCGATTTTTTTTAAGCAAGTGAACAACAACGTACAAAAAAAAATTTCAATTATTTCCACAAAATTATAAATAAGTTTATCGCAATAAGTAGAGACTAATTAGTAAAACAATAATTCAGTAAAATGTTTATTTTTTTAAAATAAACCATCATATTTAATATTATAGATATAAATAATATTTTTATACTTGTACTCTTTCAACGTTTTTACAATGTTCACATGTTTAAAGAATTACGCGTTAAACATATCCATTAAGTTAATCTAGCAATTAAGTAATTATAAACATACATAAAAGTACCTAAAAATCAGAGGTGGATTTAGGAAGAAGGGAATCACGAGATGATCGCCTCCCCTTAAGTTTTTAAACTGCTCAAATTACAGTCAAGTCTTTATAGTAGTTTATATTTCACTCATAAATATTCCTATTAGCTCTCTCTAAATTAAATTTTAGATCCGCCCCTATTAATAAATAATAATATAAATATTACAACCGAGCTTGTCAACTAACTGCCTACATGATACCAATAACCAATAACCAATAACCAATAACGGGTCTTAGAATACGTCAAAGTTAAAAATATAAAAATAATAGTTCTAGTCAATTATGATGCATTATTATCGATTATTACGTTGATATATTTTAATTGAAAACAACACACATACGATTTGTTTTGCATATGGTTGTTTTTAAATCACTACTTAAAATTAGGTAAGTAAACGAGTATAATTACTGGTATGAAATGTGAAACCATAGAAAAATATATATATTATCTAAAAAAAAATGTAATTCGTTCTACCCTGACATACCTTGTCAAAATAAATCAAAGATAACCAAGTGTTATATCTAGTTCAGTTTTTATGGTTCATTCTATTTATTTCTCACTAGCGAGAATTCTGATGGAAAATGTGCACGATAATGCGCAAGCATGTAAAAAGTAATGGATTAAGTTATAGAAAGAAAATTTTGTTTATTGATATATATGCATTTCTGAAAATAAATAAAATCAATTCTATAACCGACACATCCCCTGGCCTTGAAATAACCTAAGAGTCGTCGTTGAGCTTAAGGTCAAAAAACCCGTTCTTTTTAAACCCAATTAATAACGTATCAATCACGGTTTTCTCACGAATACCTAATACCTCATCAACCTAATAAATTCTAACAACATTCGTCTCGGTCATTGTTTCAAACGTGTGTAATTGTGTACGTGCGATTCTCACGTGTTGATCATATTAAATTTGCGATGGCTCTACGATAATATGCGCACACAGCGGTTGCGGTTGTGACCAGCAGAAGCGGTATCTTTTATATAAAAACAACGTTCGATGGCGTTGATGCGCAGCCGGACGACACACAAGTCGGTCACGATCGTCCGAGTGACCTACAATACGCCGTCCGAGTGTCAAAGATAAACTTGTTTACATTATACAGTGTATTATTTTATTATTCGGCGTGTCTATTATTATCACGCGTATCCGTATGTGTGTGTAAAAAAAAATATGATTCCATAATGGAGGCAACAAGAATAAATCGGTATAACAAATGCACGGTGTTTTCATACATTTACGATTTACCAATGAATTATATACAGAGAAAATGGAAACTAAATCGATTGACATACTATAATGAACCATAATATTATAGTATTGTTAATGAATAAAACGACTCTAATGGTGTTAGTGAGTAAAAGGCACGAGAAACTCGTAAGTAACCCTGGTAAATGAAAAAATAAATGCATGTGCATTATAATTTTTTGCACAGCAACCCGGTTGTACACACACTACGTAGATGGCACGTGGAAAGTCTTACGCGTTGTATCACGATAGTTCTGAACCAATCACATAGCACAATATTTAAACTTTGTCTTAAAATGTTTTGATAAAATGATAGTTGAGATTTTCTATAAGGAATTTTTCTACGGCATTCGACAAATATTATCTATGTTTTTGTTCGAAAATAATAAATATTTCATAATTACGTGTTATTAATTTAATATAGAACACTTATCAATTTTTATATTAACAATAGAGATTTACAGTTATTATAATTCATATATTATAAATCTTAAAAATTAAAATGATTTGTCATCTATATTTTGTTTAAAATATTGTGAACAGAAAGAACGATGGAAAAAAAATTAGGAAAATAATTATATAAAAAAATAAAAAGTAATATGATATAAATAATATATGTCTTATTATTATAGTGTTATTAATTATTTATAATAAATATTTGCTAAAGCTGTATTACATATTAATATTTATTATTTTATTTATTAATATATTTATTATATTTACTATTATATACCTGAAATGATTAGAACATATCCATGTATGTACTTATATATAAGTAAATATAATACGTGCATTTAAATATACAATATACATTTTTAAGCTATATACGTTTCTAACCATGTAATTTAATGAACTAACCATTATATAGTAGGAAGTAGTTAATCGTTAGTAGTTAATACATAGCAATTTAAATATAAGTTTGATAATTTCTGCTATTAAAATAACAGAATCAAATACTTAAATAATTAAATACTTATCGATAAAAATATTATCCGGTAAACACACATTTTTATTCATAGTAGTTTCCGATCATCAAATATAATTATTTATTATATCATAATCGAAATTTGAAATGTAACATTAAATGTACTTTGCGTTCTTTGAATAATAAAAGAAAAAATATTTTCAATATAAAATTTGGTAATTCTTTATAATTATTATTACTGTAATTAATAATAAAAATATTTATTTATTGAAATACATTTCTCAACTTACTATATAATATATTATTAAATATATTCCTTTATTCTACATCTCATTAAAATTCAATTTTTTTATTTATTTACTAATTATTTAAGGTTTAATTTAATTATTTATTAAGGTTATTAAAAGTTATGTGAGTAATGTCATGTTATACACATGAGTACTTTATACTATTATATTTCTAATGTACTGATCGATCAAGTGATGTGATAATTTGAACTCGTCGTGAGTTCTACCCGACGTCAACATTTAGAAATATTTAATTTTATTTGCATCAAATTCTATAAAAATTGACAATTATCATTTTTTAACTACACAAAATTTTATCAAATTTGGTTAAATTTTGAAAAATTCACAACGAAACCAGATATGATTTCTAAATCCTTATTACTCATAGATAAATTCTATTTATGTATTATAATATATTTAAATTACTAAATCACTATACGTTAGGCGTGTGATCTACGGAGACTTTTAACCACTTCTCGCAATGCATTATAAATACCATACAGTCTAAGACACTAAATAGGTATCGATAAACCATTCATTAATGATTTGACTTTACTAGTCAATAGCAATTTATTAGATACTGAACTAGAATACATAGTTAGTTACATTCATAATTCAAACTAAAATTGATATTTCTTATAATTTAATAGTGTAATCAAATGATATGTATAAATAATAATAATCACTTCTTTAAAATCATATTCAACAAAAGTATCAAAAAAATATGACATAAATCACTTATTATTTTAATATTTTATTTCATCTTACCGTTTAATTTACTGAGTTGATGTTTTTGCCCATCGAGGCCCTTGTTATCAGTCTGAAAAATACAAATAAAATAAAATAATTTAAGAACTATGTATGCGATTATGAATAAAATGATGTATACCCTAGTTGTGTTAAATTTGTTCTATTAGTTAAAATAAACAGCAATATTTCAAGTTAATGTTTGAGTAGTAACCATATATATTTAATTAATAAGATGATCTGATATCGTAAGTAATTTAGTTTTATTTGTATTCACTTAAGAAATGTATGCCTTTTCGAGACGTGCAAATGTGTAATCTATAGTAAAACTATAGTCATACATTGGTCATACATTTATACAATTTGACAAATGAAAATAGTTAATAATTATTAATTAATTAATATATAATTGGACTTGGATGTAATATATTACCAATTAAAATTAAAATAAATTAGATTTATATAAAATATAATATACTAATTATAGTTTAGTGTATTTGTGGTTATAAATTATTCGTTGATGACAAAATAAAACAAGTTTAATAACAGTTTGATTTACTACTATAGTCTTTACAATAAATTAATCTTGTAAATTTTTATATACATGTAATATATGTTATATTATATTCATGTATACATAAGTAATTTACAAACTATGCATTTTTATAAAATATGGATCAGTCCTGTACCTATAATGTCGACGGTAAAATACACGATTTCAACAGTGGCACTGCACGTAAAAAACACGCAATGAAAAACGTTTCTAGCATTAATAGATACTTAAAAAACAAAGTATTAATAACAATTTTATATCAATCGTATACAAAATAATATCTTATATAAATGATATATTACAACAAAATTGTTTACATATAAAAATAGAAATTTAATGATTTCTTTAAATAAGACTGAACTATAAATTGTATAATGTAAATATAAATTGTTTAAAATAAATACATAATATAAAATAACAAAAATTTTCAACAAAATTATTATTTTTATTTAGATATTTATTTTTCGTACTTTGTCTATAATAAACTTGATGACAATTATAAACTAAAATTCTTATTAAGTTTACTATGCTGGCTAATACTTTCAACATTGTAGGTGTAGAGATTTTTTTAAATTTTAAATTATTATTTTGAATAAATAAATAATTATAATATATGAAACAAATTACTGAAAATACAATATCATTTTTGTTTTATAATTCTTGGTAATAATATCAATACCAAGACTACAATAGCTAATTAATCATTTCGATATCTGCCAAATTTACATGAATAAAAGTTACGATATAAGTATTCTTACCATATAGTACGAAACTATCATTTAATTTCTTATCTTAGATTTATAATGTATAATAATTCATTTTTCTAGCCTTAAAAATTTAGTATTTAGTATATTATTTTGCTGGAAGTACGGTTTTTTAAAAGTATTTTTAATGGTAAACGTATTAAAATATAGAAAAATATAGTAGGATAATTTCTTTATTTTGTGTAATCATTGATTAAATATATATATATATAATCAATGGTATAATATTTACATATTTTTAAAATAAAATTGAACTTAAAATGAAATTATAATATTTAAAATAAATATTTTCTACATTAAGAAAAATATATTTAACTAATTTTAAGTATATAATATAATAATATTAATACATCATTATATTTTTAGGTGTACCGTTAATGTAACTTAAGTGATAGTTATTATTTATTAACAAATTATAAAAGAAAATATAAATTTAAAAATTTGAAAGTTAGTAGTTGAAATGTTATTTGATTGTACCGGTCAATCCACTTTTTACGTTAAACGTTATACCAGTAAGAGGAAGCGATTGAATAATAAAAAACGAATTAAGTAGTGGGGTCCATATTTACATGCAGCATTTTTAACACTTAATATTGTCTAAAACCCGTTTCATAACAGATTGAAAGTTTTTTTTGTGTCGTTTGATCCAAACAAAATCACATATGATGAAGGGTAAAAAATCATAATATCCGTTGCCCGTAGTGATAGTTTAGTAACAAAAGTAACAGTAATGCAGAAGGGGATAAAAACAGGATATTATAATTATTATACACTCATACCATATATAAATAAATAAATTATGCGAATTACTATTCACGAAGATTAGATAATAAATATGCAATACAATCTTCTTAAATTATTTATTATTAAAATGTTTTCAAGCGACACTTGTTTTTCCTGCACGTTACGTACAAGAAACATTACATAACCTGAATAATTTACAAATGGTTTAAAAATTACAAGAGTAATTGTTGCAATATTCAATAGTGTTTAATAATGTTTAAAATATGTTAACTAAATTCATATTATTAACAATATGATACAATTTTAAAACGTTATACATTAAAACTATATTTAAATCAATTATATTAATCTATTGATGATAATATTTAAATCCAACTATAAATTTTGAAAAAAATTATTGGAATAGTAATTATGTTAAAATTTCATTATTTTCCAATACTTTTACTTTTCGTAATGTACCATAATAATTATTTATTATAATAGGATAAATTCTATTAAAATGTACAAAAAAACCTTAAATAAATTGAAATCCTATGAATAATTGTATAACCCTTTAATTTTTTAAGGAAATAAACACAACGTTAAATGAATAGAACAATAAAATATTGAAAGCAAATAATATACACTTTAATCCATTAACAATACTTTTATCGGTCAAAAACTTACCATTGCTGTTGGTATTGAGTGGAAAACCAAAAATAAAGTTATCAATACAAAAAAACCAAGTTACAAACAAAACAAATTAAATAAATATCCAATGTTATTGTTCAAAATCATAGCATTTAAATTTGTCAACATTGATATATAGTATCGAATCGGAATGCATATTAGTACGACCATGCGGGAATATGGGGGAATATACCATTGGAGAATAAAATATAGATAAGTACCTACCATAAATACATCCTGAAATGCGTTTCTCATAATTATTATGCAATTTTAAAGGTTTTCAAGGTCGTCCGTGCACTATCGAGTCACACCCACATGTTTTCAACATAAATGAATATTACTCGAATCGTACAAAAACAAACAAGCTTCTATTGACATTTAATAGCTAATTTTTCTTGCATATAAATTTCAACGAGGTGGATTTATAAGTTATAATACGATTTACCGGTACGACATTAACACTTACGTGGTTGAAGTGTAAAATAATCTGTTACGATTTACAGCTGTCAGTAGAAAAAAAAATAAAATATGTATATACAATAGGTAACTTGAGTGGCCGTAATTGATAATTATTGTCGAACAATTAAAAAAAGGTTATCGCTGTATAATTTACTGAATAATAATTACAAAATCGTCTCGTATGGTAAAGCTGCAAAGGGCACAGAACTGCGTCGGCAATAATTTAGTGTTGTGAAATGACCGAATTTTCTAAAAGGTCGAAAGCGAAAAGGTTGCGGTGTAATAGGAAATAATTTTATAAATGAGTCATTATTAAAATTAAACGAAAACGCATAGATATGACGCACGCCTCTCAAGAATGATAAAGTTTGTGGATAGATAATAAGCTTGATGACATAATGATCGAGACACATACAATTTAGCACGAACTTTACGTATACAATCTCCAACAAGATAATATTTAAAAAATTCCGGAAACCAGACATGGTTCTAGTTTAAAACAACATTGTTTTTGAATTGTTGGACCCTAATGATAATGAAATATTGAAAACATGGGCAACAAAACACTCGCACGTACGTGATACGAGTGGTTTCCATTTAATGATCATTAATACGGAATTTAGATTGAAAATAAATGTAATTTCAACTTCGATGTTTATTCCTTCTATGCTCTATTGGTCATACCAAATACGGGTTTTCCGTATAGTTCAGATGTTTTCTGGTTTTTGTTTAAGTTCAGACACCGACAAGGTTAAACGGACGGTAAAGATATTGTTTTAGCGATAACGATGTTTTGCCATTACAAAAAACTATGATCAGCCGAACAGGTATTTAACAATATTAATAGGATTAATACCGTTTATACCGACTGACGTGCGTAATATTTTTCAATACGACCGAGCCAAATACATTATGCACCGTCGAATGGACCAAGAACACCGTTACGTATTATGCTATTATAATTCTATATCGTATTATTATTTACTGTAAACCATAGACGTGTATACTTACGAGAATCTATAGCGATTACACCTGCGCCCCGATCGTGGCGAGCGTCGTCGAAGAATTTAATTGTTTCGAAAAAAAAAAATGTTCCCAAGAGTGGAAAACCGGTTTACACGGCGCTTTTGTTCGTAAAAGTAAAAATCCACTGGGTACTATGCGTCGTTAGGGTTTAAACTTCAATCGGTTGTTTCGGGCGGGCAACGCTTGTCAAGGGTCGGCGAAGAACGCCGCGGAAACATTAACCTGGAGAAATTATTCTGTTCTGGATCGCGATCGCACAGCTATTCGTACATTCGGAGAGAAATGATGACGAGCTCGAATGGCGAACGTAAAGCGCACACGGAACCTGAACGATCACTGTGCCATCTGCCGTTCGTTTGCAGGAAACTGTGTGATATTCGTGCGGTGGCGGCGGGTTGCGCACAGTCGGCTGGGCGGTGGGAGAACTGTCGGTGGGGGCGACCTTGAAAGGGTCGGCGGCGCCCAGGAAACCACCCACCCCCGAGACCAACGGATTCCACCGATATCTTATACGTTATGTGTGTCATCCCTTTTTTTTTGCCGAGTTCCCACGCAGTTATAATATATATATATATAAAACGCACGTCGGACGTGAACAATTTTGAACAAATGATTTAATGATTAAACACAATAACTAAGTTCGAGAGATAAGTCTACTTTTGACGTTTTTAACGTAAACAATTAGTGTGCACATGACTTCGTATATTTTCGAATAAGTTAATTTTTGTTCGGATGATGTGTGCATAACACATGCACGAGAATCGAGTATTTATTTAATCATATGCTTTTAAATGAAACACGATCTCTTGATGTTTATCATGTGTTGGGTTCCCAGCAAGGATATTTATACGTATATAG